AGTCGGTGATCGTTACAAAAATAGAATCGACATTTGGTAGAAAATGGTAAATGATAAAGAAAATGGCTAAAAGATAGCAAGTTTTGAGTTATTTTACTACTATTCGATTATACAGTCATGGACAAAAGTCTTTTAACATTGGTTTTTAGAAGTTTGTTCTTTGTATATCTTAGTCCAAATCCGAGCAATTTGCAAACGGTTAAAAGATTTAAAGAGCTTATTATCTCTAATTTTAACATTACAAAAAGATGGATTTAACAATTTATCAGGTGTCATGAACCTTTTAATAAAACAAAAATTGGGCCAAAAATTGATGGACAAAAGTCTTTTAACATCGCAGCTTCTTCGTGAAATTTTCTGTTTTTCCTATTGATTTCTGGTTGCTGACTCTGATTTTTTAGATGTCCGGTGCCTACTTATCAACTCCGGACAAGGAGAAAATCGTCGAAGCTCGAAAAAATGGAATTTCTAGAAAAGCCGTCGCTGAGCTGTTCCGCTGTACCGAAACAACTGTATCGCTTCTGTCTCGAGGGCCAAACTCGCGGGAAACGTTCATCGTGCATCAAAAAGTCGACGTCTACCAGTTGCAACTTTACGAGAAGACAATGCGCTCGTTTTGGCCCGCAAGAAGAACCCAAATCTAAATACCTTTGATGGTATTTAGATGGCTATGGTGAAGCAACAATTTAACAAAGAAATTTCTTTCTGATTCTGGAGAATGATCTTTTACCGTTTTCGACCGCAAATATGGGCCAAGGTTGGTTGTTGTACCAGGACAATGCACCGTGCCACAAGTCACAGCTGCTGATGGGACGCCGTGTTATTTGCGCCACTCACCATAACTTTTTTTCTAAGTGAACCAATCTTTATGATTTTGGTTTCATTTTGTAGATCTCAATAAGTGCAACAAAATGACACCAAAATCATAAAGTTTTTGTGAAGTTTGTGAAGTCGAAATTGAAGAGGAAACTATTCGGATCAAAAGTGGAGCTTTGGTACTTCATCCGTCGAGTCTGGACAACTATTAAACAAATTCTACGTGATCTGGTTAACAGCATGCCAAGGAGAATTCAAGCAGTAATTGCGGCTCGCGGAGGACCTACTAAGTATTGATTTCATAATGTTTTTCTCACATGTTAAAAGACTTTTGTCCATCAATTTTTGGCCCAATTTTTGTTTTATTAAAAGGTTCATGACACCTGATAAATTGTTAAATCCATCTTTTTGTAATGTTAAAATTAGAGATAATAAGCTCTTTAAATCTTTTAACCGTTTGCAAATTGCTCGGATTTGGACTAAGATATACAAAGAACAAACTTCTAAAAACCAATGTTAAAAGACTTTTGTCCATGACTGTATTAGGTGTGTGAAAAAGTAATCCACGTTTTTTATTTTCATTTTGTTTAAATAAATATATCTAAACAATTTTTAATTTTTTTTGTTAACGATATATATCGTTTAAAAGCTTATTTTTTCCTCTTTCGAATGATATATTTATTTTGTTAAAAGGACGACAATAAACTACTTTAATTTTAGTTTGAAAATGGTACACATAAGTATCGTTATTCGGTCAAATTTGCTTTATGAGCTCAAAAATGGGTTGAAAGCTGCGGAGGCTGCACGTCGAATTCGGAATGCGTTTGGCGAAGACGCCGTTATTGATGATATCGCTAGGTTTTGGTTCCGACGATTCAAAGGTGGTAATGAAAGCCTGGAAGATGAACCACATGGCGGTCGCCCTGAGACCGGTTCTGATGACCAAATAAGACGCTGTCTTCTCGAAAACCCTTGTTCAGCTCTTCAGAAATAGGCCTTACATTAAATTGTGATGGGTCAACCGTGAGGAAACGCTTGAATGTCATGAATTTTATTTAACGAAACTTATGGTCTATGCTATTTAAACGTTAAAAACGTGGATTACTTTTTCACACACCTAATAATTCCACAAAATTTTACCACCTGCATTAAGTCAATTTTGAATTTTAGCCAGACAAATTTTTCATTTACAAAATGTAATCTAGCAAGACCTTTTTCATTCCATTTTGTAAAGAATGGTAACGTAAATCAATAAATTGACTACTCGAAGCAAGTGAAACTTCCGTGAAAGTGGAACTTGATGCAGAGAGTAAAATTATTGGAGGCAAACCGATCGACCTGTGTCGTAGTATTAGGTTGTCCAGAAATAAATGAGCGTTTTTAACTTGAATATTTAAAGTACCATAACTTCATCCAAAAAAACTTTATTAATCGAAATAAGAACCATTACAATTAACACATTTTTGCCAACGAGAAACAAGTTTATTTATGCCGGTAGCATAGAAGTCGATAAAGTCGGCGAAGGTGTTTTTGGCATCGTCTTGAGTTTTGAAGCATTTCTCCCGGAGAAAGTTGTCGAGATGCTTGAAAAAGTGGTAGTCGGTAGACGAAAGGTCCGGCGAATATGGCGGGTGAGGCAAAGTTTCGTAGCTCAGTTCGTTCAGTTTTTGCAGGGTCGGTAGTGTGAGCGTTGTCGGGGAGAAGAATTGGACCTTTTCTGTTGACCAATACCGGGCACATTCACCGCAATTTCTGGTGCATTTCGTCGATTTGTTGGCAGTACTTCTTCGTCGTAATCGTTTCGCCCGGATTCAGAAAGCTGTGATGGATGTGACCGACTGCGGACCACCAAACAGTCACCACAACTTTCTTTTGGTGCAAATTTGGCTTTGGAAAGTGTTGTGGAGCCTCTCCGGCGTCCAACCACTGAGCGGAACGTCACCGGTTGTCGTAGAGGATCCACTTTCATCGCACGTTACGATCCGGTCGAGAAATGAGTCGTTTTTGTTGCGCTGAAGAAGAGCAGAGGACACCTCAAAACGACGATTTTTTTGATTTTCGTTTAATTCGTACGGCACCCATTTATCGAGCTTTTTTGACTTTCCAATCCGTTTCAAGTGGTCAGAAATGGTCGTCTTGCCCACGCCAAGCTCCTCCTCAAGCTTTCGAATAGTCAAACGTGGATTTGCTTCCACCAGAGTCTTCATTTCGTCGTCATCGAGTTCAACAGGTCGGTCACGGCCTTCTTTCTCTGCGAGATCAAAATCACCACCTCGGAATTTTCGGAACCAAGTTCGCACTGTTGACTCGCCGACACTGCCTTGGCCCCAAACTTCGTTAATGTTACGAGCCGTTTCAGCTGCATTGCGACCGAGTTTGAACTCATAAAAGAAAATCTGGCGAAAGTAGTTTCGGACATCTAAAACGGCGAAGCTTAAAATTCGCAAAAAATTTTATTTTTAACAAAATCTAAAAGCATGGTTAAAGAGAGCGCGAACTCACCTTTCTAATGGTATATAACATTACAAGGTACAGAGGATACTTTATTGAGAAAAATGTACCCAAATAATAAACAATACAAAACGCTCATTTATTTCCGGACAACCTAATATTTACTGAAAGCTAACAAATTTTAAGGCATACCAGCTAACAATATAAATGAGAGAATTATGGCAAGAATCTCTTTGTAGAACTCTTTTCTCGGTAATTGTTGTCGTTTTGGAATAGAATTGGAAGATCTTGTGGCAAATATAGGCATTAGAATAAGTGATAATCGGAAATTTGAGATTTCACACTCGAATTTCACTGTGTTAAAACTTTATAGTTCTGAAAAATTGATTGCTTTGAAAAGTGAGCTCTGAGAATTTGATAGCGTTTTTCGGGCAATAAGGGGGTAATTTGAAGGGATTCTTTGTGCAAAGTGACAATTTTAAGAGAAATCTTTTCTATATTATTACACAGGGAAAAGCTCGCTTCCCATTATATAATAGGGTTAAAATTTTTGATTTATGAAATGAAAATTGGGTTACGTTGAATAAAATTTGGCTTTAAACGTTCGAAAAACCGTGAAATTGTCAAAATTTATCCATTAAATTGAAATTTTCGATAAAATTAACCAAATAATTAGAGAGTTTCGTCAAGGGTCGACCCCCAAATTTTAGCTTTCAGCAATCGACCAACCCATCGGCACAGAAAGTTGCCCAGCACATGACATTTCCTCCTCCAAAATTTCTTTTGCCAAAAAAGATGAACCTTTTTTAAATCTCACCAATAATGGATGTAACCGTCGGGTCTATTAAGATTCCATTTCTTCTCGTCGCTCAAGATAACTTTAGACCAAGCTTTTGCCATTAGTGCCTGTGCCAATCTAACATCTAGAGTGCGTTTCAAATTCTTAAACGCACTCTCTAAAATAGCGGATTTTACATTTTGACCACCGCTACAACTATTAATCTTTTTCTATTAGAAAGAGCATGTCTTAAAACCTAAATAACACGAAAAATAAGCATACTGTAAAAAGAAAAATTTTCAAAATAGAAACTTTTTGGTAAATCAACCGTTTCAAATTCTTAAACGCACTATGAAAATATTTTTATTTATCGACACAAATTAAAAATCAAAGGTAAAAAATCAAAACTAATGATCTGTACACGCACCAGAACGATTAATTACTTGAAAAATGCGGTCTGGCATTGAATTGATGAGGTTTTGAAGAGCAGAGGCGTCGAGATCGGTCCAGGCCGAAAAAATTGCTGCTTTAAGTGTAGAAACGTCTTGAAACTGACGATGATTCTTGTAGACAGCTCGGACAAGTATTCCCCATAAATTTTCTATCGGATTGAGGTCAGGAGACTGAGCTGGTCAGACAAAGTTGCAATGTTGTTGCTGTTCAGCCAGTTCAGGGTGTCTCCGGCTCGATGAATTGACGCGTTGTCGTATTGAAACAAATCGGGAACGGTTGGATTTAGGAGCGAAAACGGCAACAAGCAATTGTTCAAGATATCTATCTAGTCATCCGATTCGAAACCATCTTCAGAGCGACCGTTCCATCAGCACAAAAGACGGCCCAAACCATCACAGAACCACCGCCAAAGTTTCGAGTTCCAAACACCATCGGATCACGTCGAAGATCCCTCCAATAGTAGCCAACGCCATCGGGGCCATCCAAATTCCATTTCTTCTCATCGGAAAAGATCACCTAAACGCAAAAAAATAATAAAACATAAGCGGCTTTCCAACCATAGATCAATTCTGATTCATATGAGTCTTGGCGAAGGCCAATCGGGCTTTCTTGTGCAAAAGCTTCACGATCGGTTGGATGTTCAATAATTGTCGATCGACATGTGCGTTTTTCCTTGATGGCTCGCCAAATTGTCGACTTCGAAGAGTCGATTTTCCGTCCCGTTTTCACTTCATTGATCGTTTTTCCGTGGATGTTGTTCACAATGTGGCCAAAGCTTACACCGCGAGCTAGACGCCATATTGTGAACAACATCCACGGAAAACGATCAATGAAGTGAAAAACGCAGCGGAAAATCGACTCTTCGAAGTCGACAATTTGGCGAGCCATCAAGGAAAAACGCACATGTCGATCGACAATTATTGAACATCCAACCGAACATCCAACCGCCCGCCCCGGCTGCACCGCCGCCTTGTCCTCCGAATCCTCCACGGCCTAAAAGATTGAACTTTAGTTGCCTCGCTTAATTTGTTTACCTCCTCTATCACCTCCACCACGTCCTCCATCAAAGCCTCCTCGTCCGCCAAATCCTCCTCCTCGACCGCCGTCAAAGCGGCTGCCGCCACCACGTCCTTCACCTCTACCACCTAAATATTTAAAATAAAACAGAAAATAAGTATTCAAATATTTTGAAACCTAATTATGTTGCCTAATTTTAAATCATGTGTGCAACGTCACAAACTGACTATTTTATGATTATCTAGTGAACTAATTACCGTTTTACCAATGCCACAAAAACCTTTAACACGAAATGTGAGCGCACCATGTTTTTACCACTTTTACCAAGAGCTTTACTCTGCGTACACATTTAGTTTCTACCATTGATTTTGCTTGTTAAATGCATTTATATTTTTTCGCGCCCCAATTGTGGAAGATACCAGATAACCAAACGCATCAGATCGTTTTCAAAAATTAATATCTTATTGTATAACATTTTTACTCTTTGTAGATAGAATACCTCCAAAGCCTCCTCGACCACCCGGAGGACCGCCGTTCCTGCAAGAAAAATCATCATCAAACCAGTAAGTCTGGTCGGATGACTACCACCAGTCATTTTTACAAAAAAACATTCATGCACAATCGAAACCAATTATTTTTCTTTCTTTTGTATGGTTTGCCTATTTATGATTGGTGATAATTATTTTTCGACAATCGTGTTGCATTTTCTTCGAGACCCTCTGATACAAGTGTTGATAAAAGCAGAAGCTTTGAACTAAACTTTAAAAATTGCACATTCTCCCACCAAAGTGGGTCAAAAAAACTTCCAATTTTCATGTTCAATCGATTTTTTCATGAATTTTTGAACCCCAGTTATTAAAGTGATCAACATGTTTTCGAACTCTTCAAAATGGGGGCTCATTCAAGACAACAACTTATTAATAGCTGTTTAAAATCAACTTGAACAATTTAAGTAAACATAAAAGTGCTTACCCTTCACTGAAGGAGTCGCGTGAACGATCACTACCGCCGCCGTCCCAACGAGAAGGTCGATCGCTACCATCGTCACTGCCACCAAATGAACCGCCACTAAATTTTTGTATTACATCAACTTTCCACAAAAAGATCAAAAAGACGAAATCGATCTCACCGATTTCCATAATCGCCTCTTCCACCGCCACGCGAGCTATCGTAGCCTCCGCGGCCACCACCTCCTAGAAACAAATCATTTTTAGAGATTTAAATGCTAACCATATCCACCAGCGCCTCCAAATGATCCACCATTCCCGCCATAACCACCAGTGCCCGCGGCTGCTTGTTGTGCGTAGTAGTGAGCCCAGACCTGTTCATACTGAGCCATTGTCTAAAACTCGTGATTCTTGTCGTCATCATAAACACCCAAACCTCAGGATCGTATTGTGGTCCGCCCGCCCCGGCTCCACCGCCGCCTTGTCCTCCATACCCACCTTGAAACGCCATCTAAGGATCTAAAAAATGAATTGTAATAAAAGATTTTAAAATTATTGAGACGGCTTGCAGAAACAAAGTGAAAGAAACGACTAATGGATTGATCGCTTTGGAACGGCCGCATCGCCGCACGCCAGATGGCCGCTAATTCAAAATCCTACGTTCTAGCGTGCTTTAATTGGAACCAAAATAATCGGCGCAAACAATTGTGTCATTATGGAGCTTCAAAACTTGCAAAAAAACGGATTACTCCCATACGAAAGGAAAATATCGAGTTACTACCAGTTTACCTACCAAAACCAGTTTATCTACCAAAGATATCCACATTTTTCAAAGTTTATTGTCTCAAATCGAATACATATTATACGTCAACGTAAACAAAACATAAGTGAACCAATGACATGCTTACAAAAAAAATCACAGCTCTATTTTTTCTTTCTTTTAGTCGCCAATCGATCATAACAAGGATGCCCAGGGAGGCACGATAGGAGCCGGATTTTGCAAGTAAGGCATCACAACCGCCGAAATCGACAACCTAAAGAAAATACGGTAGCCGTGTCGCGCATTAAAGTGCTTACTACTGAAAATTCATGTGAACCCCAGGGGAAATTGGTGTCCGAAGTCAATTTGTTGAAGGGAAGTCAGCAAATTGATCAAAAACAACGAGGGAAATGAGGAAATTTCCGAAAAGAATTGCTTCCTTCTTTAAAAAAGCATAACCGAGTGTCTCCTTTTTGTTATTCATTCCTCATTCAATTGCATGCCATTATTTTTTGATTTGTTTAGCACTATGGTTAGGTATTCTGATTCCATTAAGCATTCAAATTTACTTCTCGACAACACTATGATGATTCTCACCGCAAAATTAAATTAAATTCGCACCTTTGCAATTCATTTCATCGCACATCTAGTCACTTCTTCATTTTCTCCCATCATCACCTCTAATCAATTCACATATTTGTTCGGGTTTTTTTTTTGTTTTCAATTTCTTTATACAGAGTTTATTAATTGGGTATTTTCTTCGTTGTGATATTTTAGTGTCCCGAGTGCCTTTAAGAGTGTTCGCCTTTATTCAAAGAATAAATTTATACCCTATAAACGAATCACAGCCGAAAAAACCGAAAAAAAAACCAAATAGTGCAATTTTATTAAAATTGGCAATAGATAACGAAATACTTGTCACAGAAATGAATTCGGTAGAGTAAGTTGGAAAGTTGGAAGGCGAAAGTTCATTTTGCGTGGAGTTGAGGAGCCGATACCTAAATTAAATGTCTTAATCTTAATCCTCAAGACCTTAATTCTTGAATGTTTCAAAATACTCACTTTCACTTTTCCGGGAACATTCCGTGACGCCGAATCATCTCCAATTAGAGCTTTCATCAACGCAACTTCTCGTGGGGCAGCTGCTGTAGTACGCTGAAAGTATCAAATTGATAGCTTGACGATTCTCAAAGCTGAAATTGCACTGAACGCAAAACAAACCATGAATAACTCAAGAGCAGACTTAACGGCTTTTCCTCTTTTTCCAGTTCCAGGGGTCAATTTCACCTAAAGCAACATGAACTTTGTAACTGTAAATCATACAAACCTTGTATTTATACGTTGTCAGCGTATTATATGGTGCGACAACTGGAAGAGCAAAAAGCAGCGTATCCTCTTCAAGCGGTCGTCCTGTCAACGTTTGCACATTTTCTTCAACAGCATCGTCGAGCATCACCACATTCTCATCCGTTACTCCTTCATCTCCTCCTTCTTGTGATGGATTCTTCCGCATTGGGTCGCGTTTTGTTTCTTTTCGTGGTTTTTGCTAAAATTTGACATTATAGGGTTATCGGAATGGGCGACCTCAACAACGGGTTGCTCCTCTTTCTTTTCTGGAACATTCTTTGGCTGTCCTCGACTTCCAAGTATTTGCATTCGTTGTTCCCTTTCCTCTTCATCTTGATCCGCATACTTCTTTTTGATTAGCTTCTGTTTCTTCTTTTGTCGTGCAGCAGCTGCTTGTTCTCGCTTCAATCTAAAATAATTTTTTTGTACATAGCGTAAAACCCTCACTTTGTTGTTAGGTCCTCGACCTGATGTTTATCTTCCAAATATTTCCTCGTTTCAGGGGGCACAATTTGAGCAGGTCTATTTGCTTTTGCACCAATCTGTGAAAATAATATTATAGATCTATTGGTTTTTGAGTACATTCTACTGCGTACCTCAAGTATAGAATATTCCTCTTGTGTGTCGGCAAGATTGAGTGTATTAATCGGAACATTAACATCCGGGAATTGCTAAAATTAATCGTTATCAATAGGATATTTGAAAACTACCATTTCCTCTTCCTCCTCCTCATTTTCTTCAGCTTCTGCACCATCTTCCTCTTCTCTGCAAATTTCATCTTCGTTTTCATCATCTTCTTGCTTTGGCGTTTCCTCTTCACCATTGTTGAACTGATTGCGTTCTCCTATAAAAAAGTTCCATTGACAAGAAAAACTAAAGAACCTTCGTGGTGTTTAATGCTGTCTTCATCTAACTTAAATAGTAGAGCAAATCCCAGCACCAGTTGACTTGGGGGAAGAAAATTCTTCTTTCCACGAATCATGAATGAGCCGGATGGTAGATATTCACCAGTTGGAGCTGTTCTCGTAACCTATAAATACATTTTCTTAAAAGGTGCCATCAAAAACTCACTTGGTCGTGATGTACCCACCATGCGTTGGAAATTACTTTCGAATCCCACGCACCGGAATAGCAAATTGCCAACTGTGCTGCCTCAATCAACGTTTTTGGAGGAATCTCATTGTTCACTAAAAGTTAACGTTAAAGTAATAATTTTCCAACAATTATTTACCGTTTTTATTCCTGATCACCACTGAAGCCGCTCCACGAAGATCGGCATGGACATAGACATCACCGGGGCGAAGATAGCGTTTTACCACCATTTCGTTCTGTTGCGTCTAGCTATCTAAATATGTCGCTCGTCACGTCCAGCTATCTAAATATGCTAGTAATTCTGTACCGCGGAAAGGTACACTTTTACTGATTCCATTCATCAATATTAAACAAATGCAACTAGAACTAGAAAACAAAAACCGTTTGTTTCTACTTAGAAACCCACCACAATATAATCTTCAGACGAGATGAACCATACAAACTTTTCAAACCAAAATTGCTTGCGACTTTTAACCACGTCTGTTTTTATTCGTACCTAGATAAAAATAAAGCTTTAAAAACTCAAGAAACAAACCAAGTCAATTGTATCTTTTGCTTTCGCTTGAGCATTCTTAATTGCCTTTGCTTGCGCTTAGTTTTTCCTTTTTTCACATCAGCAGCCTAAAAGTAAACGAACTGATAAAATTTCCATAAACTAACAAACCTTTTTATCAACAAAATACTTGCGTGAATTTTGATACGCATTTAAAGCGCTATCAATCTTTACATCAACTAGAGGCTCTTCTTCATTGAATGGGTCCCCGAGACGCATGACAAATTGATTACTTTCCAACTCTAACTTTACAATTCGAGTTGCCGTTTCGTCACCTTTAGAACCTTTTGTTAAAACAAAGAACTCGACGGCTAACCAGATTGTACAGCTTGTTTCCACAATTGCTCTATGGCCGACCAGTCACTTCTTGAAGCGATCATCGTTCTCATCACCATTAACGCTCGCTCGATCAGTGACTAAAGTTTTGGTGGTTATTCTGATTTGATTTTCTGGTTACTTCATTAAGAACGATCCTTTCTCCCATAATTTCCTGTTGTCGTTTTGCTTCTTCCAATGCCAAAATCCGAGCCTTTTGGTCCTTTTTCACGTTGTTCAACTTTTTGATCGCCTCTTTTTCAATGTTTAGTGCTCTAAAATTTGAATTATTTCTAGATTTTGATTTTTTTTACTTTTGTTCCAGTTTTTGTGTCTCCTGTTTTGCATAAAACTCATCAACTGCTGCACTGAATGATGGATATGAGTGATGCGGGAGTTGAAGTGCTTGTTGAAATATGTAGGGATGATAATCCTTAAAAAGAGCTAATTTATGTGCTAATCTGACTTTCTGATTTACCTCAAATGTTTCAACAAACTTTCCATCAGCACGTTGTTCCTTTTTGTAGAGGATTTGGACGATGATGGGATTTGGACGGTTTTTTTTCCAATGAAACCTATTTTAATGACAACATATAAAAGATAGCACACAAAAAGTTGGGTCTACAACCAAAATTTCAGAATAATCCGTTTAACGGTTTGCTCATTTTCAATATTTTTAAAAATATCAATTTTCGTTCTCGCAGATTGTTCTCAAATACTAAAAATTGTTTAAAAATGACAAAAAGTGAACGATAAACATTCATAATGAAAGAAACCGTTTGGTATTTGGTAGTTTGAGACTCGTTAGATCATGAAATCAAGGGTGCAAGACTTACTAGGAAAAGGCGAGCACTTGCCGTGACTTTTTGGAAAGAGACCAAACGCATCTTGTAAAATCAGCCACGCTAAGTTCGAATCTTTTGCTTTTTTTGCAGAGTTTTTGCCCTCGAGGCCTGTAACGCAAGATATCTGGCTCACAAGTTTTGGTTGCATTTTTGATCTTTATTTGAGGCCTCCACGCTATCTCTTAAAATGAGGATGCGTGGCGTAGGGAATAGTACTCATGTACAATAGTACGAGGGGTTTTTCGGTCCTGGTTCGACTCCCCTCAAAAATTCAAATTTTTGGGGTATTTTTTCGGTTTTACACTACACAAATCGTCAACACTATGAGTTATGGGCCAGAATTGAAATCCGAGATTCCATATGTGAACTGCCTACACAAACTTGGCACACCCGTGGGATGCTCGCGACTTGTGGAATCAACACTGTGAATATGTGGCGGGCCAGAAACATGGGAAAGAAAAAGCTACCAAATCAAAACGTTAAACAACTTTCAAAAAAATATTCTTTTCAACAATTTATTCTAGTTTTTTTTTTAGCTAAAAGACTCAGCTTCCTTCTCCTTCTTGTAGCGTTTTCATTGCGCAACGAAAGGCACAACGCACGGGTATTGACATTTTTCTCCAGATTTGCATGCAAACCGCCCGAAAGCTGTGTGACTCACAACAACTGATTAGCTTCTTAAACTATTCATGTAAAATATGTTTAGTAAAAACTGATCAACTTTCTAAATTCAAGTACATACAATACATTAGTAATCAATAATTTCTTTGTTGGCTCCAAAGTTCCGAATTCTTAGACGTGTTGAAAAAGCGAAAGGAACAAAGAGGGTTCCCCTTCTCTTCTCTCTTTCTATTGCTCTTTCTTTGCTCGGAGACAGGCAGCATTTTGATTTTGCAATCAAATTGTATAACACTAGAAAGTCCCAAAAACCCGCCATTTCCCGCTTAGTTTATTGATCGCAAAAAGATTCTTGCTTGAATTCTTGCTTGAATTCTTACTTGAATTCTTGCTTATTGCTATTTATGACCGATTTTATACTGAGTTACAGCATTTGACTAGTTTTTTTGAGTTTCAATCAAATTCTTATAATTTTTATAAATTCAAAGTTTCAGGTCACTCAACATGTCGGCTGCCGAATTGAAAAAAAGGCTTGTGGCTGCGAAGAGCCAGTAAGTGAAAGTTAGAGTATTCAGAGCTTCAACAGCTGGTCCAAGTAAACATCCCATAGGGAATAATGAGGATTTTAGATCATATTCCATCTAGTATCTTTCAAAAAATTTAGAAGGTCTCAAAAAAAGTGAAAAATTATCCCCAGCTTCTTTCGTTTTCTTTTTTCTACTATTTCACTGCATGTCTTTGAATTCAATCTCCCAACTTTACCTAAGTGTCCCTATTCCCTTTATCAAATGTTGAACAAATGCCTCTCTCGAACTGATTTTGGAGGGGATAACCCAAGAAAAATCAGGTAAGTTGGATGGTTCAGTATTTTTGACTATAATTCGCGATTCCGAAATTCGATTCGTCTGCATTTGGTTTCATTGGATAGAGTGTCAGATTCCCCGTCGAATGGCACTAAAACCAATCAAATCGGATAGCAGGATGGCGAGTTACAGCTAAAAGTACGCAACCATCCAACTTCCATTCGGAAATATTAGGTTGGAAAGGTGAAAGTGAGAATTTTCTTTCTTCTCTGCTTATCAGTATTCCCCAACACCAAAAGCATTCGGATAAAAAGGGGTTTGTTTACACTATTCTTCAAATAATGATTCCTAAAAACCTTAAGTTGAATATTGGTATTTTCTGTTTGATTTTTGCCTTTCTTTGAAGGCGTCCGATAATCTACCGAAGGAGCATTTTCGGCATGTCCTTTTGTTTCACTTCAAGGAAAATTCCACTGTCATCTGTGCTTATGGGAGATTAATCATGTTTATGGGCAAGATTCATTTCGTCTAACAACCGCTCACAGATCGTTCCATCGTTTCGAGAAAGGCGACTTTTCCCTAAAGGAAGATGCGAGGGGTGGGAGCGCGAGTGACTTCGATGAAACGACTCTAACTGAACTCCTGCGAATCGACAACAAACAACCAACCAGGGCTCTGGGAGAGCAGCTAAAGGCCTCTCATACAACAGTGATAATCCATCTCCATTCAATGATATTTATTTCAAAATTTGGCGCGTGGGTTCCCCATGCGCTGACAGATGTGATGGGGTTGCGGCGCCTCCCAATTTCTTCCGCCCTACTCTCCCAGTACAACAAATACGCCGTTCTTTTTACTAGTGGTGAGAAGTGGGTACTTTATGCCAACTATCGGAGACACAAGCAATGAATCGGTCCCCGGGAGCAACCGAAACCTGAGCCCAAGCCAGAATTGCACCAGAAGAAAATTATGTTGTGCATTTGGTGGGATCTGAGCGGAGTATTTTATCGGAAGTTACTACCTGAAGGCACGACTGTTACAGCTTCCCTGTATTCAGAACAGCTGGATCGGGTTGCCGAACAAATCACAAAAAATCGGCCAAATCATGGAAAGGTATGACCTTCTCTAGCATCACAATGCAAGACCACATGTTGCAAATTTGACTCAACAAAAATTGAAGTAGCTGAGCTTGCGTGGTTTGTCTTTTTAGATGAATACCGTGCAAAAACTCTCACTTTCACCGTTCCAACCCAATAAAATGTCCTGAAACCGGTTAAGCTACTGACTTTAGATACATCGAATTGGCAAAACAAGACATAGTCGATGCTCTGAATCAGTTTCGGGATCTGGTGCCCGATCTTGAGAAGTTCAAGTTTCCCGACAAAGACAACGAACAACGAATCACATTCAAGCTCAAGGGGACCATTCCGATGTGTTATAGGGTACAAATATAAAAATTGATATCTAGACTCAAAGTTGAACCCTTCTTCCAGGAGACCGTGTACAACATCCCGATCTCGATCTACCTCTCATCGATGCACCCGTATCACTCACCAGTGTGCTATGTGAACCCCACAGAGGATATGGTAATGTTAAATTGATAAAAACAAAAATCTATGAGAATCTATGGAAAATTTGATAGGTGATCCGTTCGAATGAAAATGTGAGCAAAGATGGGCGAGTCTATCTGTCGTATTTGCATGAATGGCGGTACCCAGGCTACGACTTGACCGGATTGATTCAAGTACGTTTCTTTATTAAAGGATTTTCTACAAATGACTAAATAATTGTCAGTAGGCCTCTGGAAATTAAAAAAGTAGTTTTAATAGTTCAATCTGACTTCAGAATTACTTCAGTCAATAAAGTATAGATTGGTTATGCTGAACAGCTTCCGAACTATTTTTTAAAAAAACCTATTTCAGATCTTGGCGATGAGCTTCGGAGAAAAGTGTCCGGTGTTTTCGAAGAAATCCGGTAAGACCGCTTCTCAGTCGACATCCGTGAATCCATGGCCAACGCCAACTCCAATGGTATGCTTGTAATGTAAATAATAACCGGTTATGCACTGCTTGTTCTACTTTCATTGGTGCTTGCAATTATATTAGTCAAAGTGAATCTTTCTGACCTAGAACTGGAGCACAGTCGAATCTCGTCACAACTATAATCAACAAAACGGTTAATATAGGGTCGTGATGTGGATTTCTACTATTCCCAACTAGAAATCTCAATTAGAACTGAAAATGCTATTGCCATATTGATAGTTCGGAAAAAAATGCTATTGCATAGCTTTTTCAGTATATGTATCCGGAGATACAAAACCGAACACCTTCATGGACTCCACCACTCCCAGGATTCGGCACCCCATTTTCACAGCACTATGTGCCATATTTCGACGATCTTCGAAGTACTGCCAATACTGTCAATTCTTCAAGTACTTTTAATTCTTCAAACGATACTCAAAGTCAGGCAACGATTTTTGACTTTGAATCATTGAGTCTCAGATCGAACTGCACGGCCGATCCAGCCACTCTTGTCATGTATCCCGAGTTCGATTGGAAGATATCAATTTGTGGGTTTTATGCTATAGACTTCAAATTTTTGGCAACATCTAAAATGATACATGGTAGTTATTAAAGAAAATACAGGGTGTGTCAAAATTATGGGCACTAGGGGTACGCTCATGAGTTCTTACTTTTCCTATTTTTGTTCCCTTTTCTACTAGCTTTGTTTGTGTTTTATCATTGTTTACAAGTTTAACTAATGTTTTTTTTTAAATTTAGACCATTGTTTGCTGCAATGGTGTAACCGTCCATTCATCGTGAATCTATCATCGATCCCCATCAACGCGGTGTTCCGGCACGGTCGATTCAAAAACGTTTGAAAGTGGGAGAACGGTTTGTTTTCAAAACCATTGCACGATTCAAGTAACTGGGAGGCAATTAAGACCGCTTGAGAAGAGGACGAAAACGTACCGTAGTCACAAAAGCGGCTATCAGGAAGATACGTGAACGAATCAGAAGGAAGCCCGAGCGCAGCGTGCGCCAAATGTCACGAGAAACGCTGATTTCCGAACCCTCAATGAGGTGAATTGTGCCAAAAGAGCTAAAACTTCAAACCTTCAAGAAAAATAAGTGTCAAGGTTTGACCGATGCCGCCAAACAAAAATGAATGGTTTGTTGTCACGATCTCTTACGGCGATTCCCAGGCAAGCAAGATGCAAGATGTTTTGTTTATGGATGAAAAGTTGTTTACGGTTAACATGCACTGAACAAGCAAAATGATTGGATTTATGCTCTCATACGACACCCTCATACGACAGTGAAATGAGTCTCTCATCCCGCCTTCTTGATTTGGGCTGGGATCACAGCCGACGGAAAGACTCAACTCAGCTTTGTGCCTACAGGAGTGCAAATTAACGGAAACGAGTATCTGAACACCCTGAAGACAGACTTTTTACCTTGGGTTCAATCTCACTTTGAACGTCGTCTTTGAACAAGATGGAGCTCCAGGCCACAAGGCACATTTTGTTCAAAATTTGTTGCGCCCAGAATTCCCCGGACTCCATCGCTTTCAATTGATTCCTCGAGCCCGGATCTCAATTCGATGGATTACTCGTTTTGGAGTGTCCTTGAAGTAAAGGCTTGTCAAAAACCACACAAAACCGTCGTTCGTTGAAGAAAGCATTGATCAAAGCCTGGGATGACCGATGTCTCCTACTTGATGTCACCGTGGATTCATTCAGCGTGCGTCTTGACACATGCATGCAAGCTAATAGAGATATCTTTGAAGTTCAATAGTTTTTCTCGATCTTATATATGAAATAAACATTGTTATAACTAAGTTCTGCATTTGAAATTTTTCAAGCTTTTTCTGACTGCCCATAATTTTGACGCACCCTCTAACTTGGTTGTTCGTTGGCTGTATATGTGACTGGTTATGTTTTGTACACTAGGGATATTGGTCAGATGCTAGTCAGTTAAATAGCCATCCAATTGTACTGTTCTGTAGAAACAACGGCACTTATCCGTTAAA